CTACCGACAACCGGATGATCAGTTGGTCGCGGAACCAAACGCCACACGCCCCGATCCGACATGTTTTTCATTTCCTTCTGACAGGCAACGGTCCAGTCGTCTTTGTCGGGAAGCTTCATGGCCATCTTGTAGGTAGCTGGTTCTTTAATCAAACGAAAAATTGGACCCGTCGCGAAAGCATAGCCAAAAGAATCGTAGACGTCGGTGAAAGCAGAGGGGTCTTCCCAGAAAGCGTAACTTGCTGACGGCGTGTATCGGTCTACAGGTTGGCGGTTCCGTTCCGATCTTCTCGGCATGGCATCCTGTTGATGAGTCAAGTCGAGCTCTTCAAGTTGATTGTTGATCTGATTCATATCCTCATTTTGATTAAGATTCAGTAGAGGTTCTAGGTCCTGGTGCATTCCTTCACCACCAGGGACTGGTACGTCGTCACCCTGCTCATTAGGAGAAACAAGGGTGGAAGGATCCGGTAAAAGTTCACTATCCTCATCGTCGGCTGAGAGATGATTGATATCGAAGGATTTGAGTTTGCGAAAAGGGAAAATGTGTTCCTTAAAAGTAATGTCATGAGACAAAACTATGGTGTTGGACTCGACTATGAAGACTTCATAATTGTGGTTGTGAGGTGTGTGTCCGATAAGGACTGCAGGCCTAGCGACTTGACCAAAACCTCCATTTCGAAGCGGTTTGCGAATCAAAACGTAAGTCAAGCAGCCAAAGGTTCTTACGTGTGTCATGTCAGGCTTCTTCTTGTGTTTCAACTCATAAGGCGTCTTCCCTTTTGGAAGCGAAGAAGAAACTGTGCGATTGATGAGATAAACAGCGGCTTTGACCGCATAGAGCCAGAATCGAATTGGCATATTAGCTTTGATCATCAAGGCTCGGGACTTCTCCTTCACTGATCTGTTGCCCCGCTCTGCCACACCGTTTTCTTCTGGTGTGTAGGCAGCGGTGGTCCTCATGTAGATGCCACGCGCTTCACAGTACGGTACCAATAAGTCATTGATGAACTCTGTGCCGTTGTCTAAAGTAAGATTCTTGACTTTGGCATCACATTGCCGTTCAACTAACGCAATGTACTGATGGATCTTTTCGAACACGACATCCGCTGATTTGGAAGAGAGACCTGCTACATCTCGATAGCTTGAATGATCGTCGGTAAAAAGAATGAAATAGGCGCTCCCACATAACGCGGGCGTTCGAATGATACCGCTCAAGTCGATGTGTATATTTTCCAACATGACTTTGCTACGTTCTCGAGTGTACGAATGAGAAACTTTGTGACCTTTCGCAAGGTCACATGCATTGCAATCAAATGAATCAGGAAAAGTAACAGATTTAACATCCCCAATCCCTAGCACACTGCCTTCCGTTAACATAGTTTTCAGATAGTGGATGTTGGGATGGCCTAGACGCCGATGGAGGGAGGTAGCGTCAGTAAATGATGCTTGTGCTGGCGAGAGTTGTGATGTATTCCTCACTTTGACTTGTAAGAGGTTGACGTTCTTGATGAAGTTCCCGACAAATGCCACTTTGCCTGCTTGAGAAATAGCGAAAGAGTCGCCATTTTTAACGGTAACGAAATCTTCTTTGAGCAAGAGAGTTCCACAAATCAGGCTGTGCTTGAGATCCGGCACGTGTAAGCAGTCATCAAATTCAAACGTGTTACCGGCAGGACCCTTGATGAAGACGGATCCCCGACCATGAATTGGCAACGTGCTCGTTCCACCCGCAAGATTCAGTGATTCCTTGAGGTGAATTATATCTTCATAGGTACTAAAGGAAGCTTGATGTTTAAACATGTGATGAGAAGCCGCTGTGTCAATTAAGGCGGTTTCTGCATCCCGCTCAGCAGATGACTCAGTTGGCGAAAGATGGGCGGCAGTGGCGTGGCTAGCTGATGCATTCATACGGTTGAAAGATGCCTCGAGATCTTCGATTGAAGGTTCTTCGAGGGCGGTGATTGCCGAAGCTTCAGGAAGATTCGGCGGGACCTCCCCTTTCCATTGACCAAGCTTAATACGTTCAGCTATCCATTCTTTTTGCAGATGTTCATTCCCAGGTCTCTTGAAACATTCATTTGGGGAATGATTTATGCCAAGACATCGCTTCTTGGTGCATTTGTTCGCAAATCGATTAGCCCGAGATACAGCGCTGGCTTCGGGCAGGATTGAAACAGGCAATTGTCGTTCATGTCGATTTCCTCGTAGCATAGCTACAGTCGTCATGCGTTTCTTCAGGGCAGTAACAACTTCATCGTAATTCAAGATGTCCTTGTCCGCAATGGCCTTCGCGTCCTCAAAATGGGCGTTGTTGAGGGAAATTAGCAGCTTTTGGCCCATGTCGTCATTGGATATGGTACCTCCAGCACCTTTGAATTTAGTCACAGCAAGTTGAAAGTTCTCCAAGTGTTTTAGTAATGGAGTAGAAGAGGATTGAGTGATGAGATTGAGGGATCTTTCCAATAATAGTCGGATTTCGTTTGATCTCCCAGCATGATGTTCATCAATAGACTTCCATAATTTCGCTGGTAAGCTTTCGGTTTTAGCTCCCGTGGCGGAGTAGGTGGTAATCTTGGGCTCAAACCTAGCTCGGTTAGTTGAATCTAACTGTTGGAGTAGCCATGATGTGAGAAATTTCCGAGCGACTTCGTGAGCAATTGAACCGGGTTCATCACTAATGTCGTCTGTTTCAATATATTCTAGATAATACATTGAATCCAGACCACATCGAATTTCTGATGACCACACAAAGTAATTTTCGTCTGATAAAGGTTTCTCAGGACGAATCTTACTCAATGCTTGATTAACAAATATGGCTTGAAGTTGTTTGTTGGTGCCTTGCATTGGTGGCTGGTTTGCTGGAGCTGACATGATGTGGACTTGTGGATGTGAAAGTATTGAATCAAGATAGGTAGTAGGATTAGAATTGGGTGGATTTAATAGTTGAGATATATGCAATAGAGTCTGGTCGCCTTCTTCCTCGGATTCAGAGTGATTTTCTGATGGAGGCAGATTTTCGGCGGATGTTGCAAATTGTTCGTTATCACTCATCCAATTAGGATGATTACGGATCGAATGAGATACGTCTCTCTCGCTACCATGAAAATGTGTGAGTGCTTTGAAATAGCTCTAACAACACCTGTGATAAGAAACTGATAAAGATGCAATGTTAGATATGGCTACCACGAAATCCTACACTTGTGGATGTGCGCTGACCTGATAAAGATGCAATGTTAGATATGGCTACCACGAAATCCTACACTTGTGGATGTGCGCTGACCTATAGCGGTTCAGTAGATATGAGTGAGAAGCAAATAGGAGAATAAGCTTGAGTATGCGATCAATGGGGGACAAAGGTTCTCTTTCCAAAGATCAATTTTAATTACCTGATAAAGATTCAATGTTAGATATGGCTACCACGAAATCCTACACTTGTGGATGTGCGCTGACCTACAACATAAGAGACTAGTAAATGAAATGAACCAAACATAAATGAAGTGAACACAGAAATGTACCTATAGCGGTTCAGTAGATATGAGTGAGAAGCAAATAGGAGAATAAGCTTGAGTATGCGATCAATGGGGGACAAAGGTTCTCTTTCCAAAGATGGGGAAAGAGTAACTCTACAACACGCTCGACAAGTTATAAGTGAGAACAAAGAAAAGAATGAAAAAACAATAAACTAAACAAAATCACTATCCCCTTCCGTCAATCAACTGAGTGAACTTTACTGATCTTGCGTCTCTATTGCTTTACCTTAGACGCGCTTGGCATTTTGGCATTTGATTGATTTCTCAGGGATGGATACGCAAGGACTAATTTGAATTAAGTAAGTCTGACTCAATAGTTTTGAGTCGAGGAATTATTGTGAGTTGATTGAACATTAACAACTGTCTCTGGATGTCCTGGCCTTGTGAATCACTTGGCGTGTTATGCCCGCTGTCGGGTTGACGAGGACACGGTCGAAAAATGGTGTTTGTTGCAACACCAAGGACAACACACCCACCAATGGCCTGACCCCAAAAAGGCTGATCCTCTTGCAAAGGAAAAGCTGGAAGAGGCCGTGTTGAATGATCCGAAATTGGGACCACTTGGTATGAAGGTATGTAAGAATGTCCTCTTGTGTTCACAGAAGAGCATGAAGCACATACTCACTCTCGCTGTTTGCTCTCTGAAAGGTTGGACGTGCCCGTCTTGGAACCCAACCTATTGCTTCAATAACAGATATCCATTCATCTTTTGGACATACCAACCGCCTCGGCTATTTGCGCTGTGAAATTCTCGCCAAACACGGGTTGATGGACGATAAGAATGACAAGGAAGGATGTGACAGGTGGTATACACAGATCAAACATTGGTCCAGGTCAGTATTGATGAATTTATTTCGTACTCCCAGTCTTTCATATTTTCGTATCCTTTTGTATTCCATTCCTTTCATCCTTTTGACGTGGCTAAAGACTATACATGGCTGATATATCCTCTTTTTCCTCCAACAGGAAAGGAATGAAAATTGTGTTGGTTACAATGGACGACGATGACCATTTTACCTTCCAAACAAAGTGGATGGCCAAAATGCTAGTACTCAAACAAGAAGACGGGGAGGCCTACTCTGGCGGCCTCCTCTCTGATGTCACATACAAATTCTTCCTTAACGGTTACCTATTAACCACGTCGATGTACAATGAGAAGCTCCAGAGCTGGATACCGATCCTACTGTCGTGGCTCGGAGGACTGTCTACCTTACACTAAAAAACTCATTTCGCCACTCTCTTCAAACAAATCCAGAAGACTGACTTATCAGACAGAGAAAAGAGACGCCTGGTCAAACAGGTTGTTGATTTTTCTGCAGCTCAGAAAAATGGATTCATAGATGCATACATGGAGGTATTCAAGGTACATGATTGTAAAATTGCCTTTTCTAAGTTGCACGGCTGCGAACAGCATTATCAACAGGCGGTCACTCGCATTTCGAAAAATCACAAAATCGTGAAGGTTAATATGGTGGTCAGTTCCCATTCTTTGGACATTGATTAACTGTCCCATTGTTTTGATTTAATTCATCTAATTAATCTACGTTTTTCATGTACCTTTGACACGCAGGGTACTTGGAAGACACTGTGCCGAGAGCTTCTTCTCCCGGATGAACGTCTGGACGTCCCAATCTTGAACAAAGATTCAAAGATTTGCAAAGATTATTTCCTTTGGCGAAAAAAAGGATTAACTGGTGGTATGCGGCGGATGTCCAAGCCATGCTCTTCCGGGCGCGGAAGCTTATTCCTGAAGATGACCCGCCATTACCTGAAGAAGAATCAGATGACAAAGAACAAGCTCAACCACGCCGGCGCGCTGATTTACCGAAGACGACCAATGCGCAAGAATCCTTACACCGGGTCTACTACATGCTCTGGTAGGTATTTATCAAAGCGTTCTACCATATAATCGTAACGAGTCTAACATTGAACAATTTTGTCAAATGTTGGTGTTAGTGATGGCAAGTGTGGGATCATCGCCGGGATGATTCAACTATTTGCATTTGTTTCGAGTTTAGAGCGCGACTACGAGGCCAGATGCAAAGGTATCTCGGTGACTTACAGTTCCAGCAATCAAAATTGGCAAGATATTGTTACGTCTTTAGGCATGGCCAAACCCACCAAACGCCGATACGTTGCAAACGACGGCCGTGCACCGGACACCACCAAAGAACTGCTTGACGGTGCTGAGGCTAAATCCGGCAAACCCTCCAAGAAGAAAGGTCCTGGATGTCCTCGAGGATCTTTGAACATCAATCGAAGTGCTTTGACAACCTACAAGTCTTATACGTCAGGCACCCCCATTGGCACGCTTAATTGATGCTGGCAGACTGCCACGCTGGAATCCCTCTACGCTCTGTGGGGTCCACTTTGGAGTGACCACACGCACGTCAATGGGACATCTTTGCCCACGATCATCATTTGACATTTCACCGGACGTTGCGATGGCGAAATGAATGAAGGCAAACACCTCGGGAGTTTATTGAAACGCGGGCAGAACATTATTCACAAGGCCATCCAAGCTCTCAAACCCGAGTCATACACGTCCGACAAGTTTTGTTCTGCCGATGGTTTCATGGACATGATAGTAGACCACCCGCACACAAGGCCTCTTTTTGCTATCAACGTGACTAAGACATTAATATGTCATCGCAATGACAAACACAACCGAGCTACAAACAGATCTTTAGGTGGTTTCCGGCTTTTCCCATCGATGTTCAGGGAGTCTGGTGTTGCTTATGGTCAACTGGACATTTTGCTAAAACAGTTATTCTCTGAAGGTGTCCTAACCGAACCCGGCCTTGTATGCCGTGGATGTCATCCAATTAAGGAAAAAGGCCACGAGCAAGAGGACCCGACGTTATATGATCAATGTATGAAGATTGAAGATACATCCTTACCTTTGCATCTCTATTTTCTCATGGACAACATCATGGCCTTAGATTCCAAGGAACGAGGACGTTACATGGGAGACACCAACTGGCCAGCGCGTCTAGATATAGGTGAAGCCAAATATCAGATGGTCACCCGTGGTTTCTGGGGTGGTAACCATTATTGGTGCCAAGTGGTGCGGTCAGTAGAAGGTGTCTTGGGTGTATGGCATTATGACGAGCTCAAGAATGGAGGATTTTCCCAGCTCATATCCCGCGACATGGACAGCCTTTCTGGTTGTATTGCTAACACCAGCTGGACGTGTTACATGCGGGTCCCTTTCAAAGCGGAAACTGTCAAGATCAAACATGCCCTTCTGGACATGATGAAGAAGTTTCCAGATCGACACCTCTCAATACCTTTCACAATGCCTACCAGCACGATGCCATTCGGAGGAGGCCTTCCTTCTCTTGAAGAAACTGACAACGCCATTTTGACCACAACCTTGCCCGAAGAGCCTTCTTTGCCAGTTCGCAATGACGCTGATGCAGATGAAGAAATCTTAAATGACAACGATGACGTTCTCTACGTCGGGCTCAACCGTGAAGAACCTCAGCACGATAATGACAAGCTTCTCTACGGCAATATTGTACCTCTGGATGATGTGGATGTCATAGGAACCAAAGAGGCCGACATTGAGGTTGATGAGCTATCTCATCAACCTTCTGAGGAAATCAAGACCCCTTTGGACCCTGTCAAATTGAAGATCAAGTTGGCCATACCAAAGTTGAATCCGTCAATTGAAGAGGAGGCCCTTTCACCACCAGTAGCCTCCACAGAGGTCCAACCACGTAAGTTGCCTTCCTTCACTACACTCTCTTTGTTCTTTGCAGTACTGTAGGACACTGACCTCATATGTGCTGCATACAGGGAGCAAGCGCACGCGCAATGCTACAAAGAAGGCTGATGCCTCGCAAGCGGATGACAGCTCTTCAGCGGCTAAACGAAAGGCAACAGCGGATAAGCGCAAGGCTACAGCTTGCAAAGGGGCTCCAGGCTGCAGCGGAGAACCGCGAGCGGCTTAAGAAGTTGAGGGAGTAGTTTTGTTTGAAACAGACAAACAAACAAATGCCTTAAATGGTTAGCCTGTGGTGCTTATTGTTCTTTCTCAGACATGAAAGAACTTCCTTTTCTTTGCTGTCTCCCTGTGTGTCGACTATAAACCCAAAACATGGTGTCTTGCGTGTTTATCTCGCATGTTTTTTTTCTCAAGTCTGCGTAACATATTCGGTGCAAAAATCAATTCAGGCGTGCCAAAATTTGATTTTTGCACATGGCCTGCTTACACAGGCATTCCCGGTGTAAAGATGAGACGTGCAAAATTGTACTTTGCATGTGTAGACTTGAAATTTACACTGAGATTTTTTACACCGCCGTAACATGTGTAAAGATTTCAATGTAAAATTCAACCTCACCACCGGCCACATGAATTTTACACTGGATATTTTACACCGTATTTTTTAACACCGAAATAAAAAATTCGAAAGAGGTGTAAAAATCTAAGAACCCCCGCTTTTTTTGGAATTTTACACTGACTTGCTTTTACACATGATGATTTGGTGTAAACACTGTAAACATCATTCAACTTCCCCAATTTGGCAGAGGAAAATGATTAATAGTACAGTTTTTCATAAAAGAATCTAATACTGCACACCTGGGCCATTTCACCCACACTACATATGTGCAGCAAGCTAAGTCAATAGTTGTCTATCATGTACATACAGGTCTGCTCAGTTTTTTGCCCATCAGAATAAATAAATCACATGTTATACCACATGTAACTTTTTTGACTTTGAAATTTTTTTCCCAAAAATTCACTACATATAATTCTGTAGCTGCTCAGGCAATATTGTTGAAGCTATGTCTTAGTAACAGAAAGTGTGTTACATGCAGTTGAGTTGATGAGATCACACCAAAACATTGAGTCAGTGTATGTAGTCAATCTTTTGGAAGCTTTTTTCAATCTGAAAGAAGTTACAGCATGTATTACATATGAATAACTTGTCCTGATGAGCAGATAACTGAGCAGAACTGTATGTACATGATAACCACATATTCACTGAGCCTGCTACACATATGTAGTGTGGGTGTTATGGCTCAGGTGTGGAGTGATAGACCATTTTATGACAAATCATACTCCCAATCATTTTTCCCTGCCCACTTGGGGAACCCGAATAATGTCTGCAGTGAAAGGAGTCGGTGTAAAATTCCCCCTCCCCGTTTCATATGGTGATCATGAGCAACAAGACTGTGTTACTTGACTTCAGTAAAATCAATTGGGCAAGTTTTTTTCTTGAAAAAACAAGCACAATATGATTTGGAAGGTTTAACTTCAGAGGGAAGAACCACTGTTGATATGTTGGTATCTCAAGATCAGAGGGAAGTTGTCAAGTAAAGGTGTTGGATGTAAAGCTGGATGGATGGCTGTTCATGACTCATTTGATGTGCTAAAAGTCTATGATAAGACTTTATTTAGGTGTGCGTAGATGTAGACAACCCTCATGCATGATTTGACACATTGATCACAGTGAGCATGAGTCTAAGACAGGCCCACAGTGGACCTGTGTATGATTTAGTGTCAAACTGATGCAAAATTGTGTTGTTAATGAAACCATAGTGGGTGCTCAAAGGGTGCCTGTATATCAGATTACCCTTTATGTATGACCTTTTTGATTTTCTGTATTACATTTCCAATTTCCCTGTCTTTTACATTCTTGCCCTAGCCTAGAAAAGGGCCTCTTGGCAAACAAGCCCGCCAAAGAGGGACTTATGGGTTATCCACAGAAGTTGGCATGTGAGCAAGAAAATTTTGGCTAGGGAGTTTTTCAACCCACCATAACTTCTTACCACACAAATAAACAGTCTTTGAGCTCACATGTACTCTTCCTATTTTATATGACATATCATATCTAAATGTCCAAGCTCCTCTCCTATCTTCCTTAATTTTCATTACGCTCTTTTTATGTCCTGCTAATGTTGGAGCTGATGGGTCTTGACATGGTACTTTATCATCAATTTCTCAATGATATCTAACCATTAAGTCAAATCTGCCTGGCCAGGCACCAAAATTTAAACACCATCCATGGGGGTACTCCAGTCATATATATATGGGATAGTATCAGAGGTACATGATGATTCAGGTTGCCATTTACTATGCATGTAATCCTGATCATTTGTTATCTATTCAAGGTCAAAAATTGAGACTGGTATGTATGTGCTTATCTCTAGAATTATTAAATTGTTGAAAGATTTAGATAATGATGGTAATAGATGATTGACTGGTTTTCCTGTTGGCATTTCAACTGGTCTCTTAACTTTTGCAACTGTAGAGTCAAAATGATAGGTTTGGGAGTTTGTGGTGATCTGAGCTAAACTCACAAATCAAAAGTGGGAAGAAGCGGAGTTTGTGATCATCCACAATTATATATGATCATCGTGAAGGTGAAGAGCATCTTCATTGAAATATGGTAATGAGGGATTTAAGATATTTTGGAGAAGTGGAAAGCACAAATCACCCAACATGTGAACACTTATATCGCTCGTTGTGGCTATTGTTGTGGCTACGTCACCACCACACCTGTACCTATTATTCTTTGGATCCCACTATTTAGAGCCCTCGGAACAATATCCGAAGCCCCATTTTGGGTTGGATCTGGGGCTCCAAATAAATCAGGCGCCCTATTTACGAGAAGGGGCTCCGCAAGGGGGCTCCTCAAGGGCCTCGATTTAATTTTATTAAATTTCTTCCTTCATTTTCATGCTTGCTCATCATGTTGACCGTGACCGACTACCCAATGACAATGACTCCATAAGTAATGGATCGATCCTAATTAACAAAGATTTAAACATTGACTTCATGAGATGGTTGGTCACCTCACTTTGAGCAAGCCTCGCTCTTGAACAAGATGAGATATCACCGTAGAGCAGGATCTCTCTCTCGAAGACTCCGCACACAAGCACATTGGCATAAACAATCATGAATTGACAATGCATAGACAATTTGACAAGGCAAAGATAGCATAGATGGAGGGGGATTTGGCCCCTCACGGGCATATAGTCATAAAAAATTGAAGGTGTTGGGCATACACAAACAAGAAAGAGATGAGAAACAGGACAAAAGAATGAAGGAAGGTGTGGGGCATACACAAACAAGAAAAATATCACAAACAAGAAAAATATGAGAAACAGGACAGGTAACAACTACATACAAAAACACCTGGTTGGCACAGTGAATTATATGAACAATACCACATATAAGAATCAAATTATTCACTCTGAGCCCAAAGACGCAATTGCACTTGATACTTGCTAATCCAACCGGGAATGTTGGTCACAGTTATTGTAGGTGAGAGGGAGTTACCATATATTTTGGGAAATGGAAGTGCCCCCGCCGCCACACTAAAATTGACAAAGTGACCACGGTTGACAAAGCCAAGAATGATAGGATTATTCCTGTTGGGTGCCGTGCGATAAGGGAAAAAGGTGTAACAATTGGATTTGATTGGATTGAAGAGAATCACCGGGCACTCATAAACACTCGCAATTACATAGCCTAAGTAAGGCATGCACATCCAATACTCTTCACCACAAGTGGTGTCTTGGGGCTGAAGTCGATGCAGGAGATCATCAACTATTTTGGTAGCCGCTGGTGCCGTTTGTCAAGTCACCTTACGGCGAGATTGCATTCCGGGGGAAGTCAATATAAGCTGTTCATGGATGTCACAATTCTTGAACAGTTCTTCGCGTAAGTGTCGAAGAACTAATACATAAGCATCCCCTTTATTACATCGCAGGGCATTAGCAATTGCGTAAAACCCACAGTTGCCATAGGGTGGAGGATTGTAGATAGACTTAATGTGTGGTATAATGATACTAGGCAATTGCTTCAATATTCTTTGTTCGGCTGGCTTCACCAGCGCGCTCTTTTCCAGAACGCGGACAGGCGCAGAAGTGTGAGGTCGAGCACTGGAGACCACCGACGTAATGCGTTTGATTTTCCTCTTGCTCAATTCGGTTAGATCTTGGGGCATTGGAAATACTGCCACCCCAAAACCTCGGCTGGTTTCCAAAGTCACTTTCACTCGTGGGTCCGTGCGTTCAAAGTGTAAATCTTCAGCAATTAAACAAGTCGCGACTTTGTGAATGAGGACTTGTCGAAGAAATGAGTCCGGCGTGGGAGGCGCAGCTTTATGTCCATCAAGGTGATGGGGCGATGATTTGTCGTTGATGAAGATAACCTCAAGGCTTCTTACAATCACTTCATAGCCTTCATATCCATAGCTATTGAGAACAAAATTGTTAGAAACTAGCACTACCCGACATAATCAGTGAAGTACTCACTATCCAGGCTGCTCGACCTCAATCATGCTGTCAAGATGACCACGGTTTTGCCCTCTTTTCTCAGCGCAAATGAGGTAAGACAATACTTCAGTCCTGTTGATTATATTGCTCAATACACCTGTATATTGATTGATACGGCTATGTGTATAAACCATCAACATCAGAGAGATGATTGGTTTGGATGGGACACAATTGATTGTACTTACTCTTGCAAACCGTTGAAATCAATGACAGTAGGCCATCCTTTGCTTACACCAAGAGGGATAGTCTCACATTCAGCTTGATGTAATTGACAAAATTTGGCCGTTTGGGTCCACTGAGAAACACACCAGTTGAGCATCTTATCTTATGATTAACATTAAAGTAAGAAAAACTTACCGACAATTGGTGAGAATTTGGCATGGCCAAGAGAACAGCTTTCAGATCGATGAGTTTCTTCAAAGGCTTGGCGGGGAGGGGTTCTTCGCAGAAAGGACATTTGGGCACTTAATCTTCTTGTTCTAACACATGATCGACGTCTGATTCATCAAACAAATCAAATGACTCTGCAGAGGCAGAGTCAGATTGGTCCACGTTGTCCTCATCAATCATGTAATAGTAATCATTCAACAGAGCTTGTTCTTTGGAAATGAGAGGTAAATCGACCAACGTAGCAGGATTTGACAACAAGATTGTGCTGGTCGAC